TACCTAACTAAAAAAAAAACCAACATTCTTTTGATAATGCCACGAACCCAAATGACAGAAAAAGAGAAAGAAATAATCCTTGCTCTTATTAAGTTGATGAGTGCTAAGAAGGTTACCAAACGGATTGGCTGTGACCCCACAGTGGTTAGAAGGTTCTTGAATAAGTACAAAAGGACCAAAAAAACTGAAAATTTACTTAGGTCTGGACATCCCCCACCCTAAAGAAGCAAGAAAAGAAGCCATATTGAAAAGGCCTTGAAGGAAAGACGCAAGCCATTGTGCAGAATTGTGAAGGATTTAAACCTTCAATGTGGTGTGTCGATGGCAGCTAGGGCCCTCCACGACTTCGGGGTTCACTCTTGTGTTGCTGCTGTAAAACCTTTTTTACAAAAGACAATATAAGTGGACATATAGATTGGTGCGAAAAAATAGGAACTGTAGCGTTTATGAGTGGTGGAATATCATTTTTTCTGATGAAATGAGTGTGGAAGTGGGTAAACAATCATGCCAAGTTCGAGTATGGCACTACACGGATGAAAGGTATAAACACGAGTGTTTAGTGCCGAGTTTCAAAAGTGGAAGGGTTTTAGTGATGGTGTGGTCTTGCTTCACTGATGAAATCAAAGACCCCATGGTTTTTTTTAATGAATACAAAGGTCCCAAGCAAAAAATTACTAAAAAAATTTACACCAAGGTTCTAGACGACCACCTCATACTATTTGTTGCAGCTGTGTGTTTGTTAACTGGGTCAAATTCAATTTTTCAGCAGGACAATGCCCCTATTCATAAGGTGACAAATTGGCTTGATAAAAAAAAAAATCAAATATATGAAGTGGCCATCCCAATCCCTGGATCTAAACCCGATAGAAAACATCTAGAAGATCGTAAAAGACAATATCCAGAGTCATGAAGACTTTCCAAGAGATGCAGTCCAGCTTAAAATAGCCTTGAAGGAGGAGTGGGCGAGGGTGGATAAGTTGGTATTTTGGGTAGTTGTGGACTCAGTGCCATGAAGAATCGAGGAAATAGTGAATGCAGAGGGTCATACATACTGATATTAAATATTAAAAAAAAAAAAATTTAATATATTGTAATGCAAAAATAAAATAAATAAAAATTTTATTTTTACCTAATAAATTAGGCATTACTTTTGGTGGCTACTGTACTATACTAACTATGTCAAAATTGTTAAAAAAAAAGGTATTCAACTATTTCAAATTTTCTTTTTAGATTTTTGATAATCTCACATCATTAATTATACTTGAAAAAAAGTTAAGTTCTTGTTAGCTAAGATATAAACTATATTATTGCTTTTAATTTTTTTTTTAAAAAAAAACATTTTTTATATTGTAAAATCCCATATCTTTTTATTATGATAACTACAACTCTAAACAACAATATGGATATTAATAATTAAAGAATTTTACTTAAAGTAGAGAAATATTAAAATGTAATCAAATAGACTTGTTAATATTAATAAGGTTAGTTATTTTCTCTATTTAAATAATGTAAAGATATATTATTTTACAAATTATTCTACAACTATACATATTAATCATATTAAATTAATTCTATATATACAAATTAATGTTGCGGTGAAATTGTTTTTTGTTTCCAAAATATTTCAAATTTAATAAGGTGATCCGAAATAAAAATTCCAAATTCCAAAATCAAGACAAAAATCTGATATAAATCTGATAAAATCCGATGCTTCCGTTTAATATTTTTATTATCCAAAATACACAAACCCGATGACCTTCAAATCTTTCCATATACATGGGCTGCCGTAAATATAAATAAGGCAAATTGGCATTCTAAAAAAAATAAATATCTTAACTTTCACAGCCTATATCTCGATAGATTTTGAAGCTATCTTAATGATTTAGTAGTCAAAAGAAAGTTTACGATATAAGCTTTTTTTTGAATATTAAATCATCAATATAATATCAAAATTCATCGAGTTATGAGTATGAAAGTTAGGGTATTTATTTTTTAAAAAATGTCAATTTGTCTTATTTCTATTGATGGCAGCCCACATATTCTAAGTGCACTGATAAATAGCGATCTTTACACACATATAAGTAGTTAATGTGAAATATTCACGAATTTTAATGCTGTTATTAAACTCCAAAAACTGATATACATGGTGAACAGATTTTTTTGGTATAGAAAGTTATCAGATTTGGTCCAAATGGGAGAGAATATTAATATTACTATGAGTGTGACTAGGAGCTCTTGCTCCTGTATATTGTACTGAAATAAGTCTATTTTGCTTGACTAGTTAAAGGTAGTAAAGTATAACTTGAATGTTGCTCCGCTACCTAAGTTAGATGCATCAGTAAAGAGGTTCTGCATAGCAGGACAGAGCTATTTTTGGTCTTCTATTAGATGTACTCATGACCAACTTGGTAGTGTTGTAAGCCACTATCTGATGTTTGATTTTATGGGGCTGTTTAGTTTAATATAGTGCTTAGGACTATTCACTATACTTAGAGTATTAATAAATCATTGTATAAAAGAGCGACCTTGTGGAAGAACTTGGCACACCCATATTAGTGATCCAACTAAGAATTGTAACTCTTTTTTGAAGCACCAATATTTGCTTTCCCATTGCTCAACATATTAATTAGCTTAGACTTTTTGTTTTTAGAAATTGTGGCTGTAAATGATTCAGTGTTCAGGTGAATATCAAGAAATATGATAGAGGTATCGGGACCTTCAAGCTTTGACAGTTTGTATAATATATTCAGATTATTAAGTATGTGGAGGAACTGGTTTAGCTCATTATATACATTCACTTTTGACACAATCAGAAAATCATCAACATAGTGGATTATTAATTTAATCCTGTGTTGTGTTGCAATCCATGTGAGGGCATCAGCAAATCTGCAGAAAATGCCTCCTGAAGCTTGGTTCCCAAAGACTAAAGCCTTATCGAAATATATTTGGCCTTCAAATATAATTTCCTGAAGTATCTGGTCTACTGGGTGTACTGGTAAAATTCTGTAAGCATCCTTTATATCAATTTTTGACAAAAGATATCCACTGCCATAGTGTGTAATCTATCTAATAGCATGGCTTATATTCTCATATTGTGTGCCAAACTCAATTTTGTCTATTCTGTCATTGATGCTTGCTCAAATGGAGCTGATAGATGTGATATTACACAATATACTTTGGGATTGGTATTCTTCTTCTCTACCAGACTACATGGGTTTATTTGAAAGAGCTGACATGGTGGTTGGTGTTCAGAAAAGGGGCCACATATTCGTCTTTGTACAAGTTTGATCTAGAAATACCTTGCAAGCAATAAGGGTCAATTTCTATTGATTTTAGATTTTTCTAATTATTATTGCTTAATCAGATGACTTTATTTAAACAACTGAACAATTTTATTTAACAAAGCTGAAAAATATATAGGAATAGGGGTTCGCTATCTTTTATAGCTCTAATATACATAACCAAATTCACAACTACAAAGATATAGATATGGGGTTTTTGTCTTGAAAATCGAGTTACTGAACATAGTAAAACATATGTCTCATACTTGATTTTCAAGGCAAAGACCCATATATCAAAACAGCAGGTAAAAAGGACACAACTATTACCCTGCCTGCCCACAAATAAAGAAAAACCCAAACAACAATACACCAATCAAAATACCTTCTATTGAGGAAATTATCAAATCTTCTTATAGCTGCAAAAAGAATCAGTATATATGTTCATACTAACATAAGCAAAGTTTCTTTATTATGGTTATTGCACTGCTATTTGCAGCCGCAGAGCTATATGCAAACTGATCCTTGCACTGCAATCTGTGGCCATGGAGCCAAATTTAAAATTGGTCTTTGCACTGCCACTGCAGCCATTGAGCCAAAAACATCAGGTCCTTGCACTGCTTATACAGCCGTGAAGCCTGGCATAACTATAGTCACTGCCATTGCAGCTGTGAAGCCAAAAACATCAGGTTCTTGCACTGCTTATACAGCTGTGGAGCCTAGCATAACAATAGTTCTTCTTGCTTGACTTCGGGTGGGTAAGGGTGAGTGATAGAGCCAGCCGAGCAATAGTGAAGAAAAAGATAATCTTCTTCACCAAAACAACCAGTCTTAAATATCTTATTTGGCCATTATCCCTTACCTAACAATAAGCCATAACAAAAAAACACGTTACAACAATAGTCAAAAATAAATACAAAAGGATATATAAAAAACTTGTAATTTGACCAGTTATAAAGTCATCTGATTTCACAATAATAATTGCCCTGTCACTTTGTTGACAGGCTTTTTATTATTATTGCTCAATTAGATGACTTTATTTAAACAAATGAACAATTTTATTTAACAAAGCTGAAAAACATATGAGAATAGAAGAGGATTGCTAATTAGTAAATCTCATTTTCCTAGAAAACTGCAACTCTGCTGTTCTAACGGATCTCAAATAACATAACTGCCTTATTATCAAAACTACTTATAGCTCGTATTTGTGTTAATAATAAACCTGCTTTCATTGCTGTGTTACACCACCAATCCTAATACTATGAGTAATAATCTCTTTCTGAATCAGATGAAGTAGATGATGCTCTTTTTCTTTTGTACTGATACTTTCGAGCTTTTCTTCTATAACTCATTCATATAAGCATGAAGATTGCCCTGACTGGCTAAATAAAGATATACGATCCTTGTACTTCTCTATCATCTTATTATTACTTCCTACAATCTGCAATACAGTACCCCATCCTCTGTTATCTGCTAATCTCAGAGTAACAGCCCTTGACTCAACTTCCTCACGCATACCAGCAATTTCCTTCTTATTAGACTCTGGCAACACTCTAATTGTCTTATAGAAATGTTTACTAATCTTTGCCAAAAAATCATACTCATGTTGGTCACATGGTCTTGGTAATTTAACTTTGGCCAAGCTTTATCTTCATCTTCAATCTCCCTATACAATGCAAAGAAATTTCTATTCATCTTTCTTTCAATGCTACTTAAAGCAGTCAGAAAAACATCAACAAGAACTGACTTTACTTTCTCTTTTCCTCTAAAACACGCTGCAAATTCCTCTCTAATCCTATTATCTGCTTCCTGGAAGTCTTCATCTAAATCATTCTCAAACTCACCACCTCTATCTTTATCCAAGTCCACATCTACTACTTCTCCTGTCCTATTATAAGCATTTCTGGGCCCTGGTTCTTGTCCTCTATTACTCCTCTTCAACTGCGCTTTCGGCCCTTTATCTTTTCTTTTGTCAAAATAAGCATGTAGTTTTTCACCTAGCTCTTCTTTATTACCCTCTATGAAGAGGCCACAAGCTGCACACAAGTTCTTCAACTCAGTCAAAGTCAGCTTTGTCCAACTCCCAGCATGCATTGAATGATTCACAGACATACTTCAGATCACTTACATATGTATAATAATACTATAAGCTAAATGCAGCTATTTAACTTTTTTTTTTTTTTAATTATTTATTTTATATTTTTCGAAACAAAAAGAAATGTATATGATATATGATATATGATATATGATACAAACGATAGAGCCAGCCTTCACAAGGCGAGCAATAGCGAAGAAAAAGATAATCTTCTTAACCAAAACAACCAGCCTTAAATATCTTATTTGGCCATTATCCCTTATCTAACAATAAGCCATAACAAAAAAACATATTACAACAATAGTCAAAAATAAACACAAAAGGATACATAAAAAACCTGTAATTTGATCAGTCATAAAATCATCTGATTTCGCAATAATGATCACACTGACACTTCTTTGACAGGCTTTCAATTAATTTGGTCCTTTGACCTGAAAAATTAAATCTAAACCCGTCTTTGAGTCCTTTAAGCAGATAAGATATAAATGGTCGATTAGGGTGACTGTTTGTAAGATATGTAAACATCTTAATGTCGATTGGAGTAGAGATGCTGAAAATATTCGAATCAAGTTGTTTGTAGATTTCATTTTCTGTGGCAGTCAAAGGTGTGTCATGTGGAGGAGTAGCAGTAAGTGTATAGTTGACCAATTAAAAGATGGGAGCCTCAGACATAGTGATCCTTTGGGCTGCTTTGTGATGAGCAGCATGTTTGAAGCTTGACGCCATTTTCGGATCTGTAGAATTGGAATAGTTAGTGATACTATTGCATAATATGTCATAAAGTTTCCCACTATATATATTATAGTAATACGGCTATTGTTTATTTATTCATGTGTGTAAGGAGAATTCTTTAACTTTTTTTTTTTTTTTTTTAGAACAAATAGTATAATTGGTGATGCATCGACTATGTTCACTAACTTAGGTGTAGGGGGGTTTTTTTTTTTTATTGTTATTATTTTTTTTTCTATATATATATTATGAGCTATAAGTGCTATCATTATTATTTGCTAAATATATACTGCAGGATGTTATTGTTATTTATTTTAAGTGCGCTTTGAAATAATTATCCCAGTGCAGTTACTATTGTCTATGCATGATACAACTAAACTTATTGCTGTATATTTTTGTCTACTTTGTTGCCGTCAGGTAGGTTGTCTTTTTTCCGGCCAAGTCTATTAAAACACCTTGCTCGTTGTGGTTAGTTTTCTTGCTGGTTTGTGGGTGCTGTAACTGGGTGTGCATTTGATGATGACATCTCATTCTGGCCTTGAAGAGTAACCTTGGATGCTTTCATAATAAGATCATTTAATGCAGAAGCTGGAGGATACTTACCTGTGGGCTGAATAGGTTCTTTTCCTTTGTCTGTCGATAGATTATTAATTTTTTTTTTTTTTAGTTGTTTGTTTGTTTTTTTTTTTATTTCCTTTTTGGCTAACTATTGACGTAAGTTTGTGGAATGTTTATTCGAGAAATTTGTTTGCTGAAGACTATTGTGTCGAAGTGGGAAAGAGTGTCGAAGTCAACTTTTCTTTGTCGGCTGTTTATATATCGATCATGGTCGGTGGCTTATTTAATTACGTATTTTTTGGTTGCGTGTTGATTCATGCGATTTAATTAATTGATTCGTTCTCTGACCATTTGCCCCATGATTTGAGGGCACGGGTTGTAGCATGTGACGTGTGACCCTGACCAGTTCTTCCCTTTCTTTTCGATCCGTTGACCCTTGTCAACATGTATCATTTACTAAATTATTACATCGAGTCTTAAGCTCTATAAAGAATAAACTCATAGAACCATATGGGCGGGCATATGATGATCATTTGAATGTGACAAAATCATGTCATTACCAGCATTATAAAAAAAAAACAATAAATTTGGCCCATGGCCAACCATGGCCAGAATTATTCGGCCCATTTCCTTTTTTAGATCAAGGTACAACCGGAGTGCAATTTCCAAAATAGGAAATCAAAATAACCAAAATAAGAACTTAATTGGTTTAAATTCAAGATAATCACAAAATTGATGTGCAATTCGAAAATATCACACTAATGAAAATGCGTCGAATCCGCCCAAATTTTGATAGTAAATAATATTTGTGTTAATTTTCTTTTCGATGTTTTTGTAAATTTTACTGCTTCTCACTTTCATTTATCAGTTTTGCCACCTTTGTTTCGCCAGTTTCGAATTTTGCCTTTTCAAAACTATGGTTCTATTTTTAATAATACAAAATCCTCAGATCTCACCTGATAACTGTTAATGGTGTATTTGATGCCAATTTCAAACAAACAAAATGACGTTTTACAATGTTTTTAGTCTATAATTAAATACATAGATGCCATAACTTTCTATCACATATAATTGTGGTAAAAAATCATCTTTTAGATGTTAATATAGCTGACCCGGATGTGTTTAGCCTTCTGTTTTTTGACTTTCTTAGTTAATTTATTATTTTTTTTATCGGATTTTTTAACGGTATGATGAATTGATAATCACTGATCGCCAAAGACATTGGCGAAAGGCCATAGAGAGAGATTGTGGAAATCGATTTATTACTATT